CCCCAAAACCCCAAAACCCCAAAACCCCGAGTTAAATACTATAAGAAAATTTGGAGGAATAGTCATTTGAAGAATAAGTGTATTAAACTGAATTAAATTTGAATAAACAAGTCATTGGCAGCGTTAGATGCTTCTCATATTGATCATGCTATATCCCCTCAAGCAATGATAAGCTCCTCTAGAACATCCTTAAGTTTTCCTGGTGAGTCTAGCTTTTGGACCATCTTATCCATTTCATAGTGAGCAATGATTTTTTGGAAGATCATCTCGTCATTCTCGTTATCGTACAATGTGAGAGCTATACCTTTCATACCGAATCTACCGGCACGACCAATTCTATGAAGGAAGCTTTCATAGTCTGGTCTGAATTTTCCTTGAACCTTAAACTTTGGTACATCGAAGTTAATTACCAAATCAATATCTGGGACATCGATAACTCTAGCTAGAATATTGGTAGTAACGAGGACGTTGACTCTTTTTTCTCTGAATTTAATCATGATTTCATCTTTCTCTTAGTTAGACATTTTATTGAAGAGGATTGCAGCCTTAAAGCCGTCATTTTTCAAAATATTGAATACAATTTCAGCAAAGTCTAAAGTGTTTACGAAGATAATGGTCTGAGTCATTGAGATAGTATCAAAGACTTGCTTAATAAAATCGACTTTCCCTCTGGGTTCACACTTATATTCGTAATTGATAATGTTGGTTAGTTGTAGTTGAGAAATCTATTGACTGATCTGATTAGCTTCTTCAATAAGATTAGCGATTTTGTCTTGAACTTACTCGTTATAAGTAGCTGATATCATAATGAATTGAACTTAGTGATCAAGTTTCTTAATGGCATCTAAAATACCATTAAGTTCTGCTTCTGACTTTACTTAATCAAAGAATGAATCAGCCTCATCAACAACAACTACTTTCAAGGCAGATAAATCAACCTTATTTCTTCCAGTAACAAATGAATTAAGTTTGCCTAGAGTTGTGATTAAAACATGTTCTGAAGGTTTGCCCATTTCATCAACACAGTTTTTGACTGTGATGTCTGAGAATTTAGTTGCTTCCTTGTAGACTTCGGAAACCTGGTTAACTAATTCTCTAGTATGCCCAAGTACAAGAACTTGTATCTTTTTAATAGATGGGTCAATTCTGAGGAGAGAACCAATTGTATAGGCTCCAGTTTTACCCGAGCCATTCTTTGATTAAGCGATTAGATGCTCATAATCTCCCTTCTCATCTTTCTAAAGAATAAGTGGAATTGCAGCAGCCTAGATATTAGAAGGTCTCTTAAAATCAAGTCCATCTCTGATTCCCTTGAGAATATCTTCTGGGATAGAAAAGTGCTCTTT